TTAATGGGTGCAGCACACCAACATGGCACATGTATACATATGTAACAAACCTGCACGTTGTGCACATGTACCCTAGAACTTAAAGTATAATAATAAAAAAAAGTTTCCGTATATTGAGCAGCTAAGATGTGCTAAGCGTGCTTATTATCTTATTTAACTTCCAGAGCAGAAGTTAACAACAAAAAGGTTCAAAAGAGGTTAAGTGACTTGCCCAGGGATACACTTGAGCTCTAAGCCACTGCACTACACCACCTTTCCAGGACCTAATCCAAGAACCTCTGTTCAACATTTCATGGAGCCATTAGCAGTGGTTGTGAGGTCGGGGGGATCATGGAGGAACTTTCCCTTTCTATGTTACATATTTCTGTGTTTGAATTTATGGAGATTCAGGCTCCAAGGAGTAGAACCAAAGTACAAGGATAGCAAGACAGGGGCTTGGAAGGGTAGAAGGAAAAATTTTTGCCCAGATTAATAATAATGTGAACAAAGATAGCAGCAAATGTTTCTTCAGCACTTACTACATACTAAATATCGTGTATCATCTCATTTAATCTTCATAACAACGCTATTACCAGTTTCCTTTCCCAGGTGAGAGACTAACTCCAAGAAGTTTGGGAATTTGTCCAAAGTCGCACAACTAGCGGCTGCTAGGGCCAGGGTTTGAGGGAAGGCAGCCTGGCTCCACAGTCTGTGCCCTAATGAGCTTACCCTGCCAGCCTCACCCCATCCCACTCCAGGCCTCACCTCTACATCCTCGTCAGCCCTCTGCCGGTTCTGCCGCACCTCCTCCAGCTGCTGCTGGGCCTGCTGCAGGGAGCGGCTCTGCTGTGCCATCTCCTGCTGCAGCTCTTCCTTCTCCTGCTGCGCCCGTTCGATGTAGCGCTCCTGCTCCTCCTTCAGCTGCATCAGCTGCTTCAGCTTCTCTTCCTCCTCTTCCAGCAGTCTGCCGGGCGAGTGTGTACTGTGTGATCTCTAGTGCCAAGGCACCTTGCAGGTGCGCGGCAAGCAGGAAAATTGGGGTGGGTTCCAGGAGGGGTGGTGGGAGAACCTGAAGAAGTTCCTCAGGCCTACCTGGTCTGAGCGAGTCGCACAGATTCCTCATCTCGCCGAGCTTTCACCTCTAGTTGCAGGGCCTCCTGCAACCGCTGCTGCATCTCCTCCAGCTCCTTGATGCGCTGCCGCTGCCGGGCAGCCTCCTCCTCCTTCAACTCCATCTCAGCCTGCATAGAGGCCCGGGCCTGTGGAGTGGGGAGGTGGTGGACCCAGAGCCAGGTCAAAAGGGGCACGTGGGGGCAGGGGATGAGGGGGTGGGCATGTTGCCCTTCTTTCCCCAGGACTCTGCTAAGCTGCCTAGGGGTAACGGTCTGGGGAACGCCTTCATGTTGGGGTTTCCTGATCTGACCCCTTTCTGAGAGCCTGACTGGAACAGATAATGGTCGGTGAACAGATGCCACTTGGGGGAAACGGGCTAAAGGTATTCCCTTTCTAGTACCAACCTTAATCATAATTATATAATATGTAATTAAACAACATTATATAATTAAATAAGATATAAAAATATGGTCATCTCCTTCCTAGCACTAGCTTAATAATTATTATAATATATAACAATATAACAATATGTTATAATCATGGCTGCTGCTAGGAAGGAGGTGACTATAACCCAATTATAACAACCAAAAGTTACTGGACACTACTACAAGTGTTTCCTCATTTAACCCTCACCGTACCTCTGTGAACAAAGTTCTATTAGCATTAGCATTTTACAGATAAGGCTCAGTAAAATGAGCCTGCCTGGCATCACGGGGCTCGTAAGAAGCAGAGCTAGGATTGAATCTACATGTTTCTGACTCCAGATCCAGGTTTCTTAAATCCTAAATCTAATTGCCTCTGCACGCTTAGTCCGCCTCCATACATGTCCTGCTTGCCTCTCAAACTGGTTTCACTGTAAACTCAGTTCAAGTCTAGTCCAAACTTGGTCCAATCTAATCCCCAATCACACGGTCTTCAACGGCTCCTTCTGCCCAAGTCCCAACCCACAGCCAAGGTCTCCGAACCAGGCCCCATCCATCCACCGGCTTGGACCTCGCCCCACACCCCTTCCTTAGCCTCAGGCCCTGCCCCTGGCGGAAGCCCCATCCCAAATCTCTTTCAAACTCGCGGACTCTGTCCCAACAATCCCTCTTTCCAAGTCCCACCCCAGTGCGCGCCCCTCAACCCAGGAGCTCCGCCCCCTGCCCAGGCCCCGCCCCTGGCGCTCC